CGTATTTGTGGGGTCGCTTTCCACAAAGAAGGGCCAAGACGCCAGGTGTGTGGACTTTTTCTGAAGTAATCTCTTGAACACTACATCTAGAGAAATTACGCCAGGATTGATGCAAATACGTCGATGAAGAAAACAGGAGAAAAGCTGTAAATATTTATAAATCATTTGCACACTGTCAATTAATTAAAATAAACATTCAATTCTTCAAAAAGATTTTCCCTTCGGGGATGAATAAAGATTCTAATGTAATCTAATTCAGTATGCATACAGGTTGATTGTAAGTTACAAATTTACAATACATTTGGCTGATCTTACTGCCGGTGCATGTAACTCTCCTCAAGAATTTTTCCGCCCAAAAAGTTTTGAAGTAGATGGTCTTGCTTTTAAGTGTTTCGTCCATGCTTGCAGTACATGTCCATACATGTTATAGCCTGTGACTGTTATAACATCGGGAGGGTTAGGAAAGTAGATACTCAAAATTTAAATTTTGTAAATTCTTGCTTGGGTCATGGTATGATAGTGTTTATTAACGAGACGGACAATACAGAACATTTTAGGACAGGGGCCGGGTTGCCACCATTCAATTCAGTTTCCATTTAATATTTTCACCGTTTGAAACACCAGTGCATGCATTTGATGACAAGTTTTTCAGATGTCAGATTACGGTTCCAGGCACGCAATGTATGATATGCTACCTCTTACCTCCCGGTACCTGACTGTCCACCTCACACACTTTGTTGATGTAGTATATTCATGTTTTGCTCATACCCCCTGGTATGATCACCCATAACGTGCTTTGTACGTGTACAACTTGACTGGCTGCATTATGCAGCTGGCAAAGAATATGATTGATCGGTGGCGGAAATTGGAAAAAATCTCGTTGCTTAGCCTCTGGGTCACTGAACGTTATGAGAAGCAAGGACAAGTAACATATAACCTGAAAAGAAAATATTGCGACTAGGAAAAAAAATTGAAGTCCAGAACTTGGAAGAGGTTTATTTGCTGCACGCAGATTGGGAGCTGCACGCTTTTTGACGGTTGTGAAGGGCTGATGTTTGAAAAACAGGAAGTGTTTGGCAAATACTGGACGTAGTGGTGGCTGTCAGTATTGTTTGGTTTGCATGCTGGGTTTGTAATTGGAACCGATGGCGTGATTGGTGTGTAATCGGGCACGCCTGGACGAAATTGGAGCTGTTTGCACTGTACTTGGATTTGCGCAGGGAGGCGTGCACCTACATGTGCCTAACGACTATTTCTGCTTCCCTACTTGCCAAAACAACCTGCCTCTTGGGTTTGATGGCTTCTTTCTCCTTGTTTCCGAAGCCAAATGGAAGCGATCATCACTGAAGTCTGGCTGGGTCCCAAGCACATTGCCTAGGGGTGAGATTTCTCAGCTTTTTCGCTGATTTCGGCTTTTCTTGTTTCGGATTTCAGCTTTTTCCTCACTGGCTGTGTACAAAAGAAAAGGAGATTTTCACCGTTCAGCCTCCTTATGCCTTTTTTCAGCTGTTTTCAGCTATTTTTATGATTACTCAATTTCACATCTGATTGCAGAAGAATATTCTGATCCTCAGTATTTGACATGAATTATTGATGAATTCTATGGTCTGTCCAGGGTACCGGCATACATCAGAAAACATTCAATTATTATACTTGCATGGTACAGTACGAGTACCAACTTTCCCTTCTGGCAAACTGATTCAGCTGTTTTTCAGTAACCTTATCTGCTCAAGCATAACTCAAGTTATTGGCACATGGCCAAGAATGTCCGTGCACTCTTCATATTAATAGGGCCACACATTTCCTACAATGCTTTAATCGTCCATTCCCGGTAGTGGTGTTGCTGGGTGCCGGTTGTCAAGTGTGTACTGCCCTCATGCTGTGAAGTGTACACAGAAAGAATGCGGAGATAGTGTATATGTACCAGCTCTGTCAAAGTGGTTATCAAGTCAAGATGGTTTTCCGTGACATTCTCAAAGCAGCAGGACCAGCCTAATAGAAATGGCTGGTCATCCCTTATTACCGGAGTTTTGTAAATTGACCCATGGAATCGATCTTGGACTGAGTACATGTTTACTAGTATCGGTGCTGGATATCAGTTTAATGATACTGGGTTTGGGCCGGTCTTAGCCGGTATGGAATGCTTGGTTATTGATTGGCAATTAAGATAGGATACGGCACAGGCCGAGCTGCAACTCTCAAGGATTTAATGGGTTGCCGTCTGGTCGAATGCCCCTCGTACCAATCCACTTCCTGTCACTCTCTCCTTCAGTGTTTGCCAAAAAACTCTGGACAATCTCTACGTGCTCTTAAAACATGCCTTTAACTCCTTCCCGTCTGCCTACTTGAAATTCTGGAACTGTTTTCACCGAATGGCAATTCTCGGTATTTTATATCTTCAAGTCGTCGGCTTTTTCAGGAACAGGGTTTTTCTTTTCATGGTACAAATACCTCGGAATGGGCCAAGGGAGCTCTAGAGGCACTCAGCCAGGCAAATGCTGCTCTCACTTCCTACGTGCTCGGCACTGAGTTGCAAGACAGGTTTAAAGGGTTGATACAGAAGTCTGTTACTTCAGCCACAAGAACAGAACTTTTGTTTCTGCTTGTGAAATCAGTTTCTCTTTTCCAGAAAATTTCTCTTTGCAAAGAAATTCTGTTTAACAGATCTTGACATTTTATCTGGCTTTACCTTCAAGATTGTAAACCATGTATATCTGCAAGCACCAGTTTGTGAATTTTTTAGTGAAATATTAAGCATTTGTACTGGGTACAGTTGGCCGTTCTTCCTTCCATTTTTTTTCCTTGGTCAAACTTGATCTTTGTGGAGTCAATCCCTAACCAGTCTTGAGTTGGTTGGGCCCCGCTCACAAGGATTTCGTTCTCTTTACAGCCTGATGTCAACAAATTGAGTTCCTCCCGTCTTCTTGGCTGTACCGTAGTTTGGTCACGTCCCGGCACGCTGCAAATTTACCCCAGAGAGCTTCCCGTCCAAAATGTGGCTCAAAGCCCCAGGGCAGGAGGTTAACCTGTAACTGACAAACAAAAGCTGGTTATGATAAAAACCAACGTGGAATGCAAGATGAGGCATTGGACTCAACTGGGCAGCAGTTGCATGACTCAGTTGGAATAGCTTTCATCTATTTGCTCACATGTATTTGTTTGTCCCTGTGTGCATTTATCAAAAGATGAATTGTTGAAACCGTCGGTGTGTATTTATATGACAAATTCTCTATGTGTACCTGTGCTTGGAGAAAAGAGCTTAGGGCTCAGTTTAATATTTTCTGAGTTTTTTTTTAGGATTCCTGACTCATGATGAGAGGGTCGGGGTTCGAATCCAGCTGGTGGTCTAAGTTGTGTCCTTGAGCATGTCGTTTTACCCCTGTTTGCCTCTCTCCACCCAGGAGTGTAGATGGGTTCCAGCCGTTATGGAGGCAGCAACCTGCAGTAGACTTGTACCTGGCATCTCTTCAAGGGGAATAGACATATTCTCAGGTGTATCAAGGAAAGCGGGCATACATGTACTGAAGACACTGCCTCAGATTTTTTTTCCATGCAGTGAAACCTTTCCTCCATGCAGTTCACGTCATGACAAGCTTAATGAGCGAGTCATACTTTCCATCAATGCCATTCCTGTCGATGTGCAGCTCACAATTCCTGACAGTTAAGAGAGGAGAATCAATATCAATTACAGGGGCCCATATGTTGGGGGGGTGCTGTACTTTAATGCAATGTGCCCTCTCCCGTTTAGCAATTTTATGCCCTGCAGAAAAGTGAAAGGTTGTTGCTGCGTCACGGCTCAAAGTTTATTCAATTAGGAATATTTTCAGAGCTGACAAGTTATTTTTCCTCCTGTCCTGTATGTGTATATTTGGGCTATGTATTAGTGGAATAGGTGGCCAGATTTGATCACCGGGAATACAACATTTGTGGAATTTCTGAACTTCTAAATCATGTGATTGCAGTATAAAGTTTTTCATCCGTTGCATTCAGGTTGCTTTACTCTTAATGACAACCAACAGCAATGACCTGATGAATTTTTATCTCTCGATTGTTCTAAACATCCTTTCTTTTAAATACTTGAACCCTTTACAGAGATATACCGGTGCAGTGCATTTCAAAGATGTACCATTCCCGGCTTCCAAGCTTTCTTTCATCAATGGCAGTGTTTGTTGGTTTGGGGAACCTGGGAATTGGCTATGGATGAAAATCTCCTTTGTCAATTTGTCAGATTGAAAACTCTGACACATCTGTGCAGTAATAAGATTTGTTGCCAAGACGCAAAGCTGTGACGTACATGTACATGCCTGTCATTATGTAAAGATTGCTTTGTTTCTGTTGTCTTTTGGAAAAGGCTAGTGGCTGATCAAATTATGACAAAATGGAATTGACAAACATTCATAAATTTCTGTGGATCCCTGGAGAAACCTGAGGGATGGAAATCCACCGTGTTTGTCTTGAAATGATCTTTTGAAGAAGAAAAGAAATGTGGTTCCGCCAAAAATTATCTTCACTGACTTCTAAATTCCTTTCCGGCAGCAAAGAAGGGAATTTTGAAACACTTATAATGTGAAAAGTAATCAGTGTTTGGGTGTTTACCTTCTGAACTACCATCTTTAATTTGGCCCTTAAAATATGGACACTGTGCCTTGCGTCATTTTTCTTGGCAGCGTATATTTCTAGGTGACATACATGTACATGTATACTGCATTGCCAAACAGGTGTCCATGTCTTGTCTGCTTTCCTCGGAACATCATGCTACACCAAAATGACACATTTATCTGATGGGTATATTTTCAGCAAGAAACATACACTTGGCTTTCTTTTCCACGCAGGAGGTGGGTTCAAAATACACAGTGTTGTACATGTATGTGCTTGTCTCGTCATTCATTCACAGTTTATAATCCCAGTCATGCATCAGGATATAATTTTGCAGTTGCTGATCGGTGTGAATCTTCTTCATGTGTCTTGTCCTTTTTTTCCTTCGTCTCTTTGGTGTGCAGAATCCAGACGACCGCCAAAGCCCAGAGTGAGGCGGAGTATCCTGCCTACGGACTGACAGGTCCCAGCGCACACATGCCTTCCAATATGTCAGTAAGTATGGTTTGCAACACCACTCATATCTTCCCTTGGGAGTTTAGCAGTGAGCATTGCATCCGCGCATCGCTAGGCAGGTCCATCTTTTCAGAATGGGAATAAAGTTACAAACTTGTTCGCCGCAGAAGTTTACAAAGTACATACATGTAAGACATCTTCTGGGTAACAACTGGTTGCCAGTCAAAATGCCATGCAATATTTATTAGCTTGTAACTGGTTCTCGGCCCATTTTTGATTAGCAATTTAAATGAAGCAGTGTAGCGTACCACCTTGATTAACATCTGGCAAGTTGCAGGAGACTTTTAAATTGACCCTCTGTCTGTAAAGGGGAACATTTGTCGAACAGAAGAGCATTGAAAAGGAATCGTCTATGAACATGTCATGCACATTTAGATCTGTAACCTCATCTGTTCTTTATTTCACACCCTCGTGCATACATTTACATGTACATGTATGGCATGCGATGATGGGATATACATGCAGAGGAAGTGAACCGCACCGGATGTTTGAATTCATGCAGCATGGCTCTCTACGTTCGGTTATGAGCAGGCACTCACGGATGAACAATTCAGCAAAGGATGGGGACGCGTCATTAACTTCAGTGTTGAATTATTGACAAGCTCTGATGTGATTTTTCTTAACTGTCTTCACAAAACTCTTCCAAAATGGCCATTCACATACACATGTAGAATGCCAATATTTCCAATGCATCGCTCATCCACGTAAGAATACTGCTTTCCCCACTCTGTCCAGTAATACCCAAATAACAAGTCTTGATTGTCACCATTCAGATGCCATTTTGTAGGGTCAGCTTGTCTCAAGACAGGTGTAAACATTTTTGCATGAGAACCAGCAATCTGTGAAGTCTGAGCACCTTACATTATGTGACTGGCTCTAGAAAAATGGGTAATAAGTTGCCAGATTCAGGTTATGAGTTTCTGATATGGCTGGATTCTGTACATCACAAGCTACAATTTGATATATGAATGACCCATGTAGTGCGCTGCGTTCCGGAGATATACAGACATTTGTATATCCACATTTTTGGATTCATTAAAAGTGCTTTTTGAGAAAAAGCTCATGAAGTGTAGCACTTAGCAACACAATGCTCCATAGGATTTCTTACCGACTGATCAATTTTTCATCTTTATTCATCAGTATCCATGTTTGTAGTTACAAATTCTGAAAATATAAATATTATGGAAGCTATGGAAGGAAAAACACAAAACCACATTTTTGAAGAAATTTTGCCCTCCAGATTGAACAGGCCATAACGTGTTCTTGCATTGGACGACTTAATACATGTACCCTTTTGTACAGAGCGGGCCACATATGCCCGTCACGTCCTTGGTTCTACATGTACATGTACCTCTTGAATTCTGCTATGATGATTCTTTATTGACGACCACATTGGCCAGGTTATTACTATCACCGGTAAGGCGTAGGGAACGTGACATGTACACCTGTTATTTAGAGAGCCATAAACGGAGCTGATCTTGTACAGTCAGGTAGGATAGTTAACTTTTTCCGGAATATTGTGATCCCATTTTTTTTTTCTTCCTTGTTTTTAAAAAATAAGGTTGAGAGCCGTTTTTGCAGCAAAGATCATTATCTTTGGTACATCATTTGTCTCACGATTTGCCATTGTAGGGCCATCATTTTGTGGCAGATTGTTTCTGCTACAGAATAATATTTCCTGTAAGGTTTTTGAGGGAAGGCTGGAATGTGTTAATGAATTTTCGGGTCTGTTCTCCAGAAACTGAACAATTATTTTTGAAAAGCACATACAGCTTCTTACAGTGAACATATTTTGGGAAGGCCTTGAAATCCTAATGATTTTGAAGAAGGTCACTGCCAGTGATATTGATTTGTCTTTGCGTCTGGGATGTTGATTTGACGCTAGACTTTGCCCTTCACACTAATAAACATGTATATATTCACAATGTATTCTCAGTGATAAATTGAACATACGGATTCAAAAGCCAAATGAATATCGTTGATCACTTGGGATACCCACTGCTACATTAGATTCAAGCCAGCTACCTGGTCCCAGCAAGCTTGATGGTGCAGTGGTTAAGACACCTGCACTAGTAAGCAGGAAGTTATGGGTTTGAATCCCACCCGCGCCAACTTGTGATTTTTTTCACGACTTTTGTACCACACTGAGAATGCAATGACATTACGTGTACGTATTTATGTATATTGGTCATTCCGTGAAGTTCGGGCACAGTTTGTGACGGCGTCCCTTGTTACATCGGTAACTTTTATTGCCCATTATTTTCACATTACAACAGATTAAGTCATTCTTGTTCGGCAAAGATGAAGCACACCACTACAAGAACCTAGTAAGATTTAGAACAATGTCAATTTAGAATCCGCATGCAGGAAAAAAAAATGTTTATTTTCACTGATGTAACAAGGGATGGCGTCACAAACTGTGCCCAAACTTCGTAGAATGACCAATATGTCAGTGGAAGGGCAACTTTTCGGTACCAAAGAATAATGCTGCCTTACAAACGATTTCGCTGGCAATGACAAAAGATTCAAGCTGCCATTACCCATGAAATTATGCATGGCTACAGTGCAACAAACATCAGAATTACTTCCCCATTACTGTATTCGTCAGAGTTGCTCATATGGATGAGGAGCGAGGAAGTCCAACACCTTTCTTCTTGCATTTGTCAGGGTTTGCTGGAAGTGATGAAATGGTACGGAGGGGAAAACAAACAAAAAAGGTGCACTCCTGATTGATATAGCGAGGAATCTTGCAGCTGAGCTTGTCACAACTGAAAGAATCAATCATCTTTCCCCCTTCTGTAAGCCCCTCCCTTCACCTTCGTGTTTGTTTCTTGCTCATTTTAATTAGTTTCAGCTGCCCCTCAAACATTACTGCCTTGAAGTTTTTCCCGCCAGGATTAAAGTTCTTGTACGCAAATGTAGAAGAAACAACTTTTTTTCCCAATCTGGCCACCAGGTCATCCAACTTATTTCATCTTGAGTAGGAATCGTCACTTGAATAGCGATTGGCCTCCAGACAGAGAGGAGATTCCCCTTCGTGGTGTGAACTATTTTCCCATCAATCCCGTTGGAGGGCATTAATTCGTTCCCCAGTCACCCCTCATGAGGGAGTGGGCAGGGGAGGGATTGTTGTGAGATGGGGGTATGGGGAAATCATCGTTCACCAGCATAGTCGGTCAGGTCTGGATTCTGAATCATACTCAATTGGCTCTTTGTATTAAAAATATCATGATTATTTTAAGACGTCAAATATTATGGTATGGTTCATTGCAGTGGGGAGAGGTTTTCTGATTTATCTTGTGTGTGTTTGCCTTTTGGGGGATGATGTTTAGTCATCTAGAATTGTAAAATCTTCGTGGAACCTTGGATGCCAGCACCAGGCCTCGAAATAGTACTAGCCCGGCGTACAAATTCTAGCGAAAAAATGCTCCGGGCTATCTAGACTTGGTTCCTTGGTTGCCCGGTGGGCTAGTGAAAAAAACATTATAGAACCTACCTGTAGTGTTAAAATTCAGATCAAAACACATGTATTGCTTTTGGTGATAATAAATGCACGATTGCAAAACCTTTAACTACAAGTGCATGTGACATTCAGCAAATCGTGCCTTTTATTTTTCCCATTAGCAGTTTCTTTTCTTCATCGGTATTAAAGCTAACAACAATTTTGGGGTTTCTTTTTTTTTGGCATACGGGCTAGTAAAAGTCCAAATGGGCTAGTAAAATACCCAGTTTACTAGCTGGGTGGGCTATCCAGGAAAAAAAGTGAGCGCAAGGCCTGCAACACCTGGAAATACTCCGCCTGAGAATCATTTGGAATCCAAATTTTGATCTTTGCCAAGTTTGCATCTGTTCATCCCACAGGATATTATCCCGAATCCACCCACCCTCCATGTTGGGAGTAACACCCCTTCATTGATCAAACACACGTAACTCCTCCATGCCAGAGCTCTGATATTGCAAGTAGTCAACAGCACTTCACCTTACCTGCTACATCTACCTTGCATGCACTGTTTCTCACGCACACCTCCCTTACAACGAGTGCAGGTATACCGGTATATTAACATGCATGAAGTGAATCCCCCTCCCAGCACTACGCTGGGCACATTTGGTGACATTTAACGAGTCCCGCCCCTCACCTCAGTGCCACGTTTGATCCCCGCACCTCATGCATAACGGGTCGCCAGAAATCATGCATCTTTTATGAATCGGGGTTTTCTTTTCAGCTTTGCAATGACACAGTGAACAGCAAATCAATCAGAGATGTATGGATCTACCGTACCATAAATAACATGAACGGATGAAAGTTAAATACATATCAAAATCTATAAGACGCAAATATTTTGCAGAACCCAACAGAACAAATTGAGTTTCTAAAAATTGCAGCTGCCTAGATTCATCAGATAATGCCTTTAGACACAGCGTATGTTCATGAAGTATTTGATAAACCAAAATTAGGTAACTGAAAATGTAAAATTCCCAATATTAACAGTAGATTATGGGACACTGCGGGACTAAAAAGCATGTGCACATGTAGTTACTCGTAAGAGTTTTTTATCCGTGGAAATGTTATGATTAAAATATTTGTGACATTCACTAATGCATACCAGATGTGAATGTTTTTACATCCCGTGGAAATACTTATACCTGTGAAAAGGGTTTTCCTTCATAGGATCTGGTGACATTAAATTTTGATGCTAGTCTGTTTAATTTACGGAGGAAAAACTGCATTGCACTTTTTTGTTTCGGTGTATTTGTTGCCATGTAATAGACCTCTGTACTGATGATGTCACTCTCTGTTTACATGTAATAACTTTCCTATGAAGTCAGTAGGGAACTCAAAGTCCACTTAGCAAATATAGGAAAGCACTACATCAACAGTAAGTAAACTGGATACATGTAGGTTTGCTGTAGCATCATGGATATATCTCTCCAGTAGAGTACCATCGGTTCTTTTCAGAATCCCACATACTCATAAAGAGATATATCCATGGTGCTACCGCAAACCTATCTAGTTGACTTGCTACCTCCACCATGAGAAGCGTCATCAGTACAGAGGTCTATTCCACTCTGGATGACCACTAGGAGCACTGCGTACACTAAAGGCGCATCTGGCTCATCGGCAAAGATAATCCTGGAGGATTTAGCAGGCCGACTCAATAAATAGCCAGGTGATGTGAGGAACGGAAGTCCTGTCTGACAGCAGAGAGCTGGGGGGGATGATGTGCGTAATGCACTAGTAATGACACAGAGCAGCTGTAATGGCCAGAGCTGTCTGGACAGCTTGGAAAATACATGTAGGCCCATGAGTGTCGCAAAGGGGAAGGGAAAAAAAGGAAAAATTAAAAGGGGTTAAAAAAAGGGAGAAAAGCGAGAGATATTTTGAAAACTGGGAATAGGGGTGAAAATCTCCAATTTGCTAAAAAAACCTCAAAATTAAACCCCCTTCGACCATGAAGAGTTTACCAGTTTGCAGCTACAGTAATGAGTGTTTTTGCCTTTTGGAAAAACTGGCACCCCCCAAAAAAAACACACTGGCGACGCCCATGTGTAGGCACTATGAAATTGGTCCATAATATGGGTAGATAAAGAGATGTGGTTGAAGCACAGGGCATCTGGTTTGTAAATTACAAAGGCATATCATTTGAATTGCAGTTAATAAGAGCAGAAACATCCACACATGGACTTCACTTACATGTGGCTCACTTCTCAGAATACAGTGCAAGGTCATTTGTACATTATTCAAGGCTGTTCCCGGAAAACAGAAGGATTTCTTGAAACTGAACATGTACCTTCCTCAGCAACTGCAGATGATGGCCTTGAAGTAATTGACGTTTTTGGAAGTTGCATCCAATCCTTGCAACACGATACAGCATAGTTCTTTAATGTCCAAGACCTACAACAGGGTAAAGCCTGATGTGCTTTTGTTGTCTTGTGTGTTTCCCCCACAGAGCGGTGACCGGAAACTGGCTCAGAGTGCCCAGATGTACCACTACCAACACCAGAAACAGCAAATGATTGCCATGGAAAAGTGAGTTCAGTTACTAGACCTCCTAAATGTTTAAGGGGACTAGGGGAGAAGGGATAACATGCATGTGCAGCCATGTGCGTGTATGCAAGTCATTTGCCAACCCTCCAGTTCTTTTTTGTCTGTCTTACCTTCGCTTTTTTGGTCACCAGAAATTGTTTCCAGAATTAATGACAGGCTGAACCTTTGGTGTTGGGTGACTTGGGGGAAAAGCTTAACTCAATATGACTTTTACAGTTTACATTTGTGTTGCGTCATACCGCTATAGAGCTTTTTCTTGACAAATAGCAGAACACGAATCCTAATCCTCCAATTTCAATGCAGTTCTCCACACAACTTTGCTTAGGGTTAGGAAAACATACATCTTATAGTGGTTCAGTGTGTCAGATTAATTGAACCATTTACATTGTAGTGGGAACAGACATCAGGAAAGTTGTGTCTAAACAAGACTGATCAGATGGCTTCCATTTCGTCTGCCTGTGTTTATCCAAGACCAGCCTGCTGGACATTTAGTTAGATTGAATACCCGCCCATCCCTTTCGTCGTGCTGTTTTTCCTCTTGAAACTTTCGGATCAGAAGACTCGAGCCACCAAAAAACATCCTGTGCAAACGGAGGTTGGATTTTCTCAAGGGATTGCGGTCACTCCAAAATGTCACATTAACTAGACCCTCAACTGCAAAAGTATTTGAACAGACTGAATTGGATGGTACTCTTCATTTCCTCTACGGTTTTCCAAAAGCTCTTCTGTGAAGATGTTCAGGTGTAACTCTGACTACTTGAGCAGCAGGAAGATGAGAGGAACTCAGTAAATGGCATTACTACAAAAGAAAATGGACAGAGAAAAGCTTTGTGTATGGTATTTGTCTGAAATCAGTTTTCATTCAGAACAACATTCTCCCATTTTCCAGTCCAGTTGCAAAATTAGAACAAGGAAAAAAACACGTTATTAAAAACCTCAAGGGAAATGCAGTGGCACATGCCCAGAATGTGGCCCAGTTCAATGCTGAATAGGAAATGCCAGTAAGAGGAAAGTACGACGGAGGCATTCGATCCGCCAGCGTCACACCAATCAGTCCTTGGGAATGAGTAATAAAAGCCGGCGTCGCCTTCCCACTTCCTCGCTTCCCTGCTGTCGCAAGATCAATTCTATGGAGTCCTTTTACTCCTGGGCGATTGCCATACTCTGTTTCATTCTGACTGGGGCTGTCTCGTTCTGCTCTCCCTGAGGAAACAAGACAAAAAGCCAACTGCACTAGAGTGGCCGGAAATTTTTGGGGGAAAATCCATTCCAGATATTCTCGATATCCCCACTCCCATTTCAAGTCCTCATTCACTTAACTTCCATTCAAAAAGTGACACCTCTTCATCCTGTATCTGGTAAAACACCTTTTATCCCGGAGATATGTTTTCAAGATGAAGCAGGTTTTGTATCTTATTGAACAAAGTCAACTGAATTATGGATTGGGGCAGATTTTTGAAAAAAAAAAAAAATTAAAAGTTGGGTGCATTATATGAATTCTAAACTCAGTGATGGTTTTAGTGCACTTGAACTAAAAAAACAAAGCATTAAAATGAAATAGATGAACTTTCAAAGAACTCAAGAGTACACTTGAGTTATAGTCATTATAGTCAAGAGTTCTAGTTGACTATAATGATGTAATGATGACCACTGCCAGTGTGCTTGGATCATTTCTGCAGTCTTTGAGTATTCTGCGCACAGACCTGTACATATGAGTTGATAAACTTTCAATTGGGCCAACACTTGCATGGTTTGGCATGCTGACAGGGCAGCCTGTCGCCAAACCTGTCTGGAGCCTAATTTGATCAGTGGAGACATGTCTGAAAATGCCGCCTCAAGTTCTGTCACAAGGGGCACCGAATTTGTGATGGGTGCGCGCATGTAGGTGGAAGTTTTCAAATAAGCCATTGGTTAACAATTGATCATTGGCTTTCCGTTTGACAGTGTCTCGGTTTTAATTTGTTAGGTATGTTTAAGGAACTAAAGATCCACTTGTTTTTCCTTTCAAAAGGAAAAGAATCCTTCCGAAAGTTGCAGTGTGACACGATTGAGTTCATGGTTTGGAGTGCTATGTCTCCAGTGTGAAGTGTCTGTCTGGTGTGTTGTTACCCTTGGGATATTGGCAGCTAGAAAGTGGGAAAAATGGTAACTCAAGAACGTGTCTGACATTTCCGATTTCAGAGAGCAGCCCTACCGTGTGTTTCACTTACAACATTCCTCACATGTTGGCATCAACTTTGCATGGTATCCAGCCTGCCTTTGACTGATGTGTTTTTGTTTGTTCGCTTGTTTTTTTGACAAGGAGGGAGAAGGGTGAGACGCAACACGACGCTTCGGATTATGACTCTGAAGAGGAGAATGAGGATGGAGATCTGACGGTGTACGAGTGTCCTGGGCTAGCACCGGTAAGACTATGTCCCCCTCGCCTGCTGTCAGAAATGTCCCCCCCCACCTTCAGGGATGACTCCTCCCATCACTAGAGGTGACCCCACCTACATGGACTATTAGGCTTGCTACCACCAGCAGTGATGACCCTGTTACTGTCGGGCATTCTCCCACCCGCTGTCAGGCATGCCCCCACCCACTGTCGGGGATGGCCCCACCCTGATCAAGAGGAGACCATTGGATATATGTTTACCCTAGTCGGTAATTTGAATATGAACCGTTAACCACAACATTTTCTTTGAAGATCTGAAAGGTTTTCATCATTTTCTGCTATGTTGGAGTTACCATGAACAAAAACAAGAGGCCTCGAAACCTCTGTTTGGAATGAGTTATGCATCAATTTAAGCACAAATTCAGTGCAACACAAAAATTGACCGACACAGTTTTATTAAAATTCTTGCGTGAGAAAATAAAAGCAATGATATTTCCTGTTATTGACAGACGGGCGAGATGCAAGTCAAGAATCCCCTCTTTAGTGAAGACAGGCATTCCGAGACGGCCGCGGCAACAGAGGAGAAACAATAATGCTGATGCCCTCCAAGTAGCAACAGCCGCTACCATGGTAACACCCCTAGGGAACGCATCTTATTCATTAAACAAAGGAAAGAGGATAGCACTCATCACCTCATTACTGATGGAGAACTTGTCAAGGGATGAAACCTTTGACAATTAAGGACCGCAAGCCTTGGACTACTGCTGTCTTCTCACTGGTGTCAACCAGGCGAGAAAATTGGACTCGGAATCTCTGAAGAATCTGGGTTGCACTCTTCATTCAAGCATTGATGCTCAATGTGTAAGACTTGTCATTAAGTCTGATGGACTTGTGTTATAGGCCCCTTTTAGGTAGTAGTTTGCACACTGCAGCCATATTGGTCTTAATCCCAGGAGTCTATTCATGACTTTTGGGCACTGTACCACCGGCGCCAGCTTGTTTTTTCTTATTGCTTAGTCAGTATGTAAAGATGGCTGCAGTGTGTTGCATTCTGGAAAAATCAACATTTGAATGCCTTGAGGAATGGTGATTTTTCATGTCGCAACTAACAAAACTGGTTTTTACTCCACAGACTCAGTACAAATAGCTGAAACAAACAGCAATCTGTTGCCATGATTTTGTTTGTTTTCAATCTAAAGAAATCAGCGATTTGTGTTCCACTAGGCATCAAGTACTTACATGTGTCGTGCCGAGTTTTTAGTTTACAAGGAAAGTATTCTTTTAATGCAAAAATAAGTTATTAATTTGATTTTGTGTTTGTTTATGTTGAAACAATGCTCTCTGAATGCTGCTCTGGTTGTAAGGAAATTACTGAAAATACAAACCCAGCCATTCTAAGTGAACATTAAAAAAATGGGAGTTTATAAATATACCTATTTTAGAGTAGTTGTGATTTTAAAATGCAGTGCACTTGTTTTTCTGCGCAAGTATTGACTTGTGTGTCAGATTTTTAAGAGCTGTATATCTGCAGAGAGTTTTAAATTCATTTTCCATCAAAACAAAGTTAAGCTTTGGATAAGGAAGAAAGAATTTCTTTCAACCAATCATGCTCCATGAAGAACACCATGATCAATGAGAGAGACTTTTGATTGGCTGACATCGTTGTAAATGCTGATTCTGATTAATTGATTCCAAGTACAAATCGAGAAGAATATATTTTTGGTTCAATAACTGGTTCACTGCAAGAACTGTTCTTCCATTATGAATCAAAGCTCAAAACGCTAACTAATCTTATTCCAGTCAGTAGCAATGCAGAGAAAGAACTTGACAAAATAATCTTAGAAAAAAAATCCTTGTAAGAGAAATATTTGACGTTTGTTTTTCCTGTGGTAGAGTTGGGTATTACAGTGGAATAATTTCTCAGTGAATTGTACATAAGCTTTCAACCAAACCCTACACACAAATTAAGTAAATATTTGCGCAGGTTTGAGAAGCTTGCAATATCACACTGTTCATTGGCAGATGCCAATCGCTTGTTTTAGTTTACTGTAATCTATTCACCTTTTAATTCTGTTTACGTGGAAATGAATTTTAGCCTCACCTCTTTATCACATATCCTTTCCCTTTTTTCCATTTTTAACTTAATCAGCTGGGTGAGTATTTTCATACCTAAACTCCATGGGTTTAAAGGATGCTGATAGACTGGTGAGGCTAGAAAGTATGGAGAGCAGGTTGAAGTCAGCTGTGTTTACGAAATTACACTTGTACTTGACTTGAGCCTATTGTTATGTTTTTCTTTTTGTGCAATGTAATGTCAGCGATTAGGGTCAAATTTATTTTGTTAAAGAGTTGGTTTATTTTATCATTTCTTCTTCATTCGACTTCGATCTAGGTTTTGTCCATTTGCAGATGTCACTTGTTCTACTTGTAAAAGAAATTTCCACGCAAAGTTGGAATGTGATAATACTGTCCATTGGCACTTGTACATGTAGGTGAATTAGCTCTCGAGATTGGATAAGAATTTTATACTCCTATGAAGATCATAATGCATTACATTGAACACTAAGCCCTCAAAATTGTTCACCAAGATTTCCTAAACACACCGGTATGTATCTAACAATGCAAGAGCTACATTGTACTGTCTTACATACCAAACATTTAATTTCCAATCTGCCAAAAGGACATAACATTTATTTTCCTTTCGTATGTTTAGTCTTGTCACTAATAATGCCTCTTTTGTCTTCAATATTTAATCATTCCTCTGTCGGAAAAACCCATCCATTCCGTTTTTTTGTATAATCAAATCAGGTAACTATTCCATAAGGAAATAATCATGAAATATAAATTGAATTACTGACTACCGTTGATATGAATCTACAGATGATTAAGATCATTATGTTGTCTGGACAAAGAAGTTATTACTTGAGACTACATTTATTAATATCACAGGTAAATATGTGTAAATGAATATATATGTGTATAGATTAAAAAGTAGTGTGTATATATATATATGAATGTTTTATGTAAGATTATGAAAATGTAATGCAGTGAATGATTGAAAGAGTTGTTTTGAACTATGGGACTTATAATATTTGCATGATTTGGCACACTTGTTACATATTGTTGACATATTTTTGCATTCATTTGCATGTAAATTTGCATGTTATAATGCCCATGGTTTAAATATTACTCAGCACATAGTGGCTATGTGTAATTTGAAATGTATATATATTATAGAAATCACCGCTGACAATAATGTGGTTAGAAATAAGTTATGTTTCTTCAACAAACATGGCTTAATCATAGCATAGTTGTATTCACCATGAACCGCTTTCAACTGGAAAAGGGAAATAGTAACCTAAAGTTTTGATACCACAGTTGATACTATTGGCTGGTCTGATAAACAGTAATTTGCATATTGACGATGGGCTGGCTTCCCTTCATTCTACAGAGCCAAGCTACCCCAAAAACATGAATAATTTATGAGTTAACCTAGCCCTTGTCTAAACAGTTGTGAAACTTTCAAGACGTATATATGGGTGGTTTGAATATTTAACATTGGTTGTGCCGGTGAAATAATCACAGATTACAGTTCGGCTTCTATTGTTTTTTTTTCTTTTTAGTTCACAGCTGTTGTCATGGAAAATGTGCTTTTTAAGAAATAAGTCCATCACTAAATTCCTTTTTGAAAGAAGTACCAGGCTTACTTTAGAACTACAGTACAGGCAAAAAGCCGTAGCGGATAGTTGCTCAGGATATCTGTATTACAGGCTTATCGTAATATGCATGCATTTATATGTCAAGATAAATCTTCCACATACATTTGTGTCCCTTTTACAACCTGAAGTGAACTTCAACATTTTTCTACCTGGGGAGATTGGGCCCAACCGCTATTACAATAGATTCATAGCTGCCTGTACAATGTGCAGTGTGTACTGTGACAGTGATTGTAATAGACGCTTCACCAACTAATGCATGATGATGTTAGCCTATGTCACTGTGATGTTGGAAATAAAGAAAACAGAGCGCGTGTAATGAATGAAATCTCGACTGTGGTCGTTGTTTGTTCACAGAGGTACAATTTGCTTGGGGTTAGTCTTGCCAATTTGATTAAAATGAGCCAAAATGAAGATTTTC